TGAGTACCCTGAATCACACCTCGACACAAGTGTACACTTCAACCATACCAACACAAAGGGAAACACCCGAATCACACCACCACACAAGACTACCGTGAATCCCACCCACAGAGGTCACCACCCTGAATCCCTCAACCACACAGGTGAACACCCAGAATCCCACCACCACACAGGTGAACACCCTGATTCCCACCACCACACAGGTGAGCACCCTGCATCCCACCAACACACAGGTAAACACCTGAATCACACCATCACACAGGAGAACACCTGAATCAAACCTCCACACAGGTGAACACTCAGATTCAAACCTCTACAAAGGTGAGCACCTGAATCACACCAACACACAGGTGAACACCCTGAATCCCACCACCACACAGGTGAACACCCTGAATCCCACCACCACACAGGTGAACACCCAGCATCCCACCATCACACAGGTGAACACCTGAATCCCACCACCACACAGGTCAGCACCTGAATCACACCTCCACACAGGTGAACACCCTGCATGCCACCACCACACAGGTGAACACCCTGAATCCCACCACCACACAGGTGAACACCTGATCACACCACCACACAGAACACCTGAATCATACCTCCACACCAGTGAGCACCCTAATCCTACAACCACACAGGGGAACACCCTGAATCACACCTCCACACAGATGAATACCTTGAATCACACTACCACACAGGTGAACACCTGATTCCCACCACCATACAAGTGAGCACCCAAAATCACAGCCACATAGATGAACACCTGATCACACCTCCACACTCGTGAACACTCTGAATCCCACCTCTATATAGGTGAACACCTGAATCCCACCACCACACAGGTCAACACATGAATCATACCACCACACAGGTGAGTACCCTGAATCACACCTCCACACAGGTGAAAACCTGAATCACACCACCACACAGGTAAACACCTGAATTACACCACCACAAATGACCATTCGCAATCTCCCCACCAAAAAATTGTACACCCTGAATCCAACCACCACACAGGTGAACACTCTGAATCCCACCACCACACATTTGAACACCCAGCATCCCACCACCACACAGGTAAACACCCTGAATCACACCACCACACAGGTGAGCACCCTGCAACCCACCGCCACACAGGTGAACATCTGCATCACACCACCACACAGGTGAACACTCTGAATCAAACCTCTACACAGGTTTGCACCTGAGTCACACCACCACACAGGTGAACACCCTGAATCCCACCACCACACAGGTGAACACCTTAAATACCACCACCACACAGGTGAACACCCTGCATCCCACCACCACACAAGAGAGCACCCTGCATCCCACCAACACACAGGTGAACACCCTGAATCCCACCACCACACAGGTGAACACCTGATCACACCAACACACAGAACACTTGAATCACAGCTCCACACAAGTGAAAATCCTAATCCTACTACCACACAGGTGAACACCCTGAATCACACCTCCACACAGGTGAGTACCCTGAATCACACCAACACACAGGTGAACACCAGAATCCTACCACCACACAGGTCAACACCTGAATCACACCACCACACAGGTGAGCACCCTGAATCACACCTCCACACAGGTGAACACTTAAACCATACCACCACACAGGTGAACACCTGAATCACACTACCACACATGACTACCCTGAAGTTCACCACCACACAGGTCAACACCCTGAATCCCACCACCACACAGTAGAACACGTAAATCACACCTCTACACAAGAGAACACCCAAATCCTACTACCACACAGGTGAATACCCTGAATCACACCACCAAACAGGTGAATACCCTGAATCACACCACCACACAGGTGAACACCTGATCACACCAACACACAGAACACTTGAATCACAGCTCCACACAAGAGAACACCCAAATCCTACTACCACACAGGTGAATACCCTGAATCACACCACCAAACAGGTGAATACCCTGAATCACACCACCACACAGGTGAACACCTGAATCCTACCACCACACAAGTGAGCACCCGGAATCACACCACCACACAGATGAACACATGAATCACACCTCCACACAGGTGAACACTCTGAATCAAACCTCTACATAGGTGTACACCTGAATCCCACCACCACACAGGTCAACAACTGAACCACAACACCACACAAGTGAGCAACCTGAATCACACCTCGACACAGATGAACACTTCAACCATACCACCACACAGGTGAACACCCTGAATCTCACCACCACACAGGTGAACACCCTGCATCCCACCACCACACAGGTGAACACCCTGAATCCCTCAACCACACAGGTGAAACCCAGAATCCCACCACCACACAGGTGAACACCCTGCATCCCACCACCACACAGGTGAACATCCTGAATCCCACCACCACACAGGTGGACACCTGATCACACCACCACACAGAACACCTGAATCAGACCTCCACACAAGTGAACACCATAATCCTACTACCACACAGGTAAACATCCTGAATCACACCTCCACACAGGTGATTACTCTGAATCACACCACCACACAGGTAAACACCTGTATCCCACCACCACACAGGTGAGCACCCAGAATCACACCACCATACAGATGAACACCTGAATCACACTTCCACACTCGTGAACACTCTGAATCCCACCTCTATATAGGTGAACACCTGAATCCTACCACCACACAGGCTAACACCGGAATCATACCACCACACAGGTGAGCACCCTGAATCACACCTCCACACAAGTGAACACCCGAATCCTACAACCACACAGGTGAACATCCTGAATCACACCTCCACACAGGTGAATACCCTGAATCACACCACCACACAGGTGTACACCTGAATTCCACCTCCACACAGGTTAGCACCTGGTATCACACCACCACACAGATGAACACCTGAATCCCACCACCACACAGGTCAACACCTGAATCATACCACCACACAGGTGAGCACCCTGAATCACACCTCCACACAGGTCAACACCTGAATCATACCACCCCACAGGTGAACACCTGAATCACACCTCCACACAGGTCAACACCTGAATCATACCACCACACAAGTGAGCACCCTGAATCACACCTCCACTCAGGTGAAAACGTGAATCACACCACCACACAGGTGACCAACCTGAATCACACCACCACACACATGAGCACTCTGAATCACACCTCCACACAGCTGAACACTCTGAATCATACCTCCACACAATTGAACACCCAAATCCTAATACCACACAGCTGAACACCCCGAATCACACCTCCACACTGGTGAACACCCTGAATCACACCTCCACACAGGTGAATACCTGAATCACACCTCCATACAAGTGAACACCTGAATCCCACTACCACACAGGTCAACACCTGAATCACACCACCACACAGGTGAGCACCCTGAATCACACCAGCACACAGATGAACACCTGATTCACACCTCCACACAGGTGAATACTCTGAATCACATCTCTACACAGGTGAACACCTGAATTCCACCACCACACAGGTCAACACCTGAATCACACCTCCACACAGGTGAACACCCTGAATCACACCACCACACAGGTGAGCACCCTGAATCACACCACCACTCTAGTGAACACTCTGAATCACACCTCCACACAGGTGAACACTCTGAATCATACCACCACACAGGTGAACACCTGAATCACGCAGGTGAACACCTGAATCACACCACCACACTGGTAAACACCTGAATCACAGCACCACGCAGGTGAACACCTGAATCACACCACCACACAAGTGAACACACAGGACCCCACCACTACACAGGTGAACACCTGGGACCTCACTACAGTGTGAACACTCTGTGTCCCAGTGCAGTGGTACAGTATGTGGGTCCCTGCCTGTGCTTCTGTGGTACTAGCCCTTTCCCGGGTGCAGGCTCCTAGGGACAATGGGATAGCGTGTTTGGCCCAGGCCACCATGTAGAGTGAGGATCTCACACTGTAGGGTGTTCTTAGGTTACTTCCATCATAAATAATCTAGAGCATTTGGAATGTGAATAAAAGGGTCCATTGACTTCCTATCCATTGTCCGTGGACAGCAAGTCACAGTCCCTGTCCATCAGCTCACAGAGAACCATGACTGCTGGATGTCAACCCCTCCTTCTGGAAGTTTCTGAGCATTTGCTCCATTGACTAACAGCTATGGTCACACAGCTACTTGGAAGGACACGGCTGTGTTCTGGCATATATGGGATGTATGTTCCTTTGTTAGCAGAACGTGAATTGTAGTTTAAGCTAGTTCAAATGTTCCTCTGAGGGAACATTCTCTATTAAGAGACTTGTTTTGTTTCTCTTCTATTTGAAAATGGAATTTATTTCTTCCTGGGTCTTTTAGTGACTACTTCGATATCCCTTGTAATCTAGTTAATCAGAATTTTGTGGCATTGTCCTCAAAGACATATAAGCTGTCTTGGGTATCTGGTGACGATTACTTCTACTAAGTGGCTACAGAACAGTCTTATTTTGCTTTCTTGAGTAACACAAATGTGGATAAAACTGGTAAATCAAAGTTAGAGTTGCGGGAAAGAGGACCAAAGGATGAATAAAAGAGGAATATGAAGGGGTTTTTGTCTGTGTGTGAATACTCTTAGCAACCCCGACCAAGCAGAGTTTGGGGTGCTGGGTGCCATGCTAGCAGTGTCTTAGGAAGGACCACGTCACTGTGGGACAAGGACAGTTCACTGAGCAGGGGTGAAGGGGGCAGGAATGCCCTGTGGGACACTGGTGGTTGGCTGGTTTGTCTCCCTGAGACTCAGACCTGCTAGCGTGCCATTCTGAAAGAGCACAGGCCAAAACAGAGCAGCACCTCCACATCCCTAGCAACCAGGGAGCTCAGGGGATCGACGCAGGAGAGGCAGGGTCTCCCCACGGGTGAGGGGATCACCGGGAAACCACCTGCTTTTATAATTAGGTAGATCGGTCTCTGCGACTGGGGAGTTTATGGCCTGTTATTTGTTGCTCAGATGTTTTATCAGAGGAGCTCCTGAGCGTGATTGCAAATCTGTCTGGGTGCTTACCTTACATGCTGCCACCAAGGTGTCCCAACACCTGTCTGGCGAACAAGTACCGGCTTATCACGGGTGCCTGCAACAACAGGTATGCGACACACACCGAGACGGCCCTGGAAACCCAGTGCCCTGCTCCACACACACACCGAGACGGCCCTGGAGACCCAGTGCCCTGCTCCACACACACACCGAGACGGCCCTGGAAACCCAGTGCCCTGCTCCACACACACACCGAGACGGCCCTGGAAACCCAGTGCCCTCCTCCACACACACACCGAGACGGCCCTGGAGCCCAGTGCCCTCCTCCACACACACACACCGAGACGGCCCTGGAGCCCAGTGCCCTCCTCCACACACACACACCGAGACGGCCCTGGAGACCCAGTGCCCTCCTCCACACACACACACCGAGATGGCCCTGGAGACCCAGTGCCCTCCTCCTCCACACACACACCGAGACGGCCCTGGAGACCCAGTGCCCTCCTCCTCCACACACACCGAGACGGCCCTGGAGACCCAGTGCCCTCCTCCCCACACACCGATACGGCCCTGGAGGCCCGGTGCCCTCCTCCTCCACACACACACCGAGACGGCCCTGGATACCCAGTGCCCTCCTCCACACACACACACACCGAGATGGCCCTGGAGACCCAGTGCCCTCCTCCCCACACACCGATACGGCCCTGGAGGCCCGGTGCCCTCCTCCCGTTCCGGCAGTTCGCCGGGCACCGCACCAGCCCGAGAGGCAGGAACTTCACTCACTCCCCTGGGTCCAGCCCCTCGTGAATGCACGCATCGCTCCATTGCTCTCCTGGTGGGTGGAACCACATATTCAGACTCGGTCCTTGAATTACCCACCCGACCTCCCCATCAGCATGCCTTTCCCCTGGACCCCAGGATGAGCGCTCTTCCACCGCCTTAGGCAAGGAGAAATATTCCTCCGGGCATCCTTGTCACGGCCTCCGGCCTGGCCCCCGACATCCCTCCTGGGAGCTCTGGCCATGCTGCCTGCCCATCATCCCCTCACTGTCCCTGCCCTCCATTCCCTCCTCCACAGGGCTGGTGTGTACACTCATTCGCTACCACTCCTCAGCCCAGAGCTAGTATGTGAGACTGTACACCGAGGGAAAGCATGGGGAAAACGTCTCTTTCTTGTTCACCTGGGTTTGCTTCACTGTAACTGCAAACGTCTAGAAGAGCTTGTCTGGACTATTCTAGAGCTGTTCTAGACTGAGGGGCCAGCAGCCTCCCTCGCTCTCCTCTCAGACAGGCCGGTTGGCAGCCTGTTCCAGCCCATGGCAAATCCTCCTCCTGGTACATTCGGAAGTTGGCGGTGATTAATCCTTTAGCCAAATGGTATCTGGAATTAGATGTCAACTTTCAAAATTCCATGTTTCTAAATGATGTATTTAAAATGTTCCTTTCTGCTAGTACTGTTTTGCTGCATTGTAGAGCACAGGTCAGTTATGTGTGGCTGACTCCAGGACTGTTCATTAGACTGAGATTTTCTCAGCTGCCTGAACAAACTCACATAAAGTTACTTAATGCACAGAGGAAAGAGAAAACTTTTTACAGCTGTCATTGGCTTCTTGTTTGTGGGCAGTAATTGCAACTCTGTTCTAACTTCCTACAGTGGGGCCACTGCTTCCCGCAGAGCCCCTAGATCTTATGAGAGTGTGGTGCATGCTGAGCTTGCCTGCTTAAAGCATTGACGTCTCTGAATATAACTCTTATGTGTCACAAGTGCCACCTAAAATGTCCTGTGGGGGAGGCATTGCGGGAGCACAGTCAGACCCAGACTCAGGACGATGCAGGGAGGGAGGTAACGGGGGTGTTCCTGCGAGAAGGGTGCTAGGGATCAGGGTGGTCCAGCAGGGAGGACAGGGAGGACACAGGGTCCTGGGGAGGAGGACAGGGAGAACACAGGGTCCTGGAGAGGACAGGGAGAACACAGGGTCCTGGAGAGGACAGGGAGGACACGGGGTCCTGGAGAGGAGGACAGGGAGAACACAGGGTCCTGGAGAGGAGGACAGGGAGGACACAGGGTCCTGGAGAGGACAGGGAGGACACGGGGTCCTGGAGAGGACAGGGAGGACACGGGGTCCTGGAGAGGACAGGGAGGACACGGGGTCCTGGAGAGGAGGACAGGGAGGACACGGGGTCCTGGAGAGGACAGGGAGGACACGGGGTCCTGGAGAGGACAGGGAGGACACGGGGTCCTGGAGAGGAGGACAGGGAGGACACGGGGTCCTGGAGAGGACAGGGAGGACACGGGGTCCTGGGGAGGAGGACAGGGAGGACACGGGGTCCTGGAGGACAGGGAGGACACGGGGTCCTGGAGAGGAGGACAGGGAGGACACGGGGTCCTGGAGAGGACAGGGAGGACACGGGGTCCTGGGGAGGACAGGGAGGACACGGGGTCCTGGAGAGGAGGACAGGGAGGACACGGGGTCCTGGAGAGGAGGACAGGGAGGACACAGGGTCCTGGGGAGGACCAGCCATACCTGCTGCAACAGGCTTTCCAAATCTGAGCTCCCTTCCCAAGCTAGGTTTGGGGTGGGGGGTGGGGAGTTTGTCTAGAGACAGGATGACTTACATTTTCAGCCTGGAGAACCTGCTGCCAGGAGGGACAGGAAAGGGTCCTGGAGAACAGCTTGTGCCAGGCCAGCGTCACTGTGACACCTGTGGCCCCGCTGCGGCCCTGGTAAGGTCGCTGACCCACACGCGTGTGGAGTAGGGTCAGGGGAAATGACACCGAATGTCTGTGAGCAGCCGTGCTGCGATGTCAGCGGTGGCTCACGTCGAGCGTGTTCACGAGCTGTAGCGCTAAAGATGCTGTGGCCGGTCTGAAACCTGTCGTCCCTCGGATCGCAGCCAGGCTGCGGCTCCGCGGCCCCCACGGGCAGTCCCCAGACGAGGAGCTGAGTCCTGGGGCTCCGGGTCACTTGGGGGGCACACCTGTCTCCTAACAACAGCATGGACTCCTTTAGCTCCTCGGCGACGTGGCTGACACGCACACGCTGTAGAGAGCGGGCCCGTCCTCCGTCCCCTGTCCACGAGCCTTGGCTCCGCGGAGGGAGGAGCGCAGGGCTCGGCCACAGCTGCTGCCCCTCCCTCACCTTCCCTGCGGCCCCCACGCAGCTCCATCAGGGGCCTACCCGGCCAGGAGCCGACTGGACCGCCTGGCGAACCTACCAGCTCTTACTCCTGCCAGGCTGGAGTCTCCTCAGACTCTGCAGCACCGCCTTTCTCAGACGCTGACAGGTCCCCAGTGCCTGGAGCCACCGTCGGTGTCCTCACCGAGCCTCAGCGGACAGCGCCGGCTTCCTTCCAGAAGGCCCCATCTGAGACATGTCCAGCCATCTCCGCTGACGGCATCACAGCCATCCACACGGCCGACACCAATCTGCACGTCACACAGGGCAGCACAGTGTGGCCGCAGGAAGGCGCCCCGCCCAGCCCCTCGTGCAAGCTGGTGCTCTGGAGGGCTCGCGGCCCTCAGCCCGGTCCTCTGGCCCATGCAGATGAGCCACACCGGGCTGGCACCCCTGGAGAAGCTGATCCCCTTCGAGGCTCTTGAAACATAAGTCAACTAGCAAGCGCAAAAGGAGAGGGCGGAAAAGTGGCTCCCGTGACAACTCTGTATGGAATGAAGACAAGCTGGCTGCAACAAGGGACAGCGCTCACATGCACACCGACCCTGCGCTTGCTTACTGCAGCCAGTTAAATCCGTTACTTAAACGCACTTTCATAACTTAATCCACTCAGCGGGCTACAGATCAATAAAGCGTTGATAACAGAAGTTTCTCCTTGCTGTGCCAGCAGACCAGAAACATCACTTGAGCAGCATGGCTGCCGCTAACAGGTTCGGAGCGCTGCTGGGTGAGGCAGCGGCCGGTGGACAGCGTTCCTCCCCTCCTCCCATCACACTGGCCGCCAAAATGTATTTGACCCATAGAATAAAACTGAGGAAGCCGGGCGCCGTGGCTCACACCTGTAACCCTAGCAACTCAGGAGGCTGAGGTCTGAGGACTGCAGCGCCAAGCCAGTTCAAGCAGCCAAGACATGGGACTCTGGTCTTCAATTAACCAGCTAGAAAAGCCAGATGTGGGGCTGTGGCTCAAGTGATGGAGCACTTCCCTTGAGCAAAAGAGCTTGGGGACAGCTTCCTGAGTATAAGCCCCATGATGGACTCAAGAAAGGAAGGAAGGGAAGCTGCGAGGGAGAGAAAGAGAAAATGTGCAGATCAACCTCCTTATGGAAAACATTTCCCATAAGCTGAGCTTCATTGCTGAGTCCACGCTTATTCACAAACCACTCAACTCTCAGAAAAGGCCTGAGTTTGTTTTTAATTCAGACAAATGCATTTGTGTGTGTTCCCTGGATAACCTTCCCACCTATAAATTCAGAACTCTCAGGAAATCCCAACGTGTCCCACTTCTAGCCTAAAGGCACACACAGCTGGAGGGCAGGTGCTCCCTGGGGGGTTGGGGTGACATACTGTTTCAAGTCTTGGCTTTGCCGTGTCTGTCCTCCCGGGAGGGGACCGCAGGGCTTTCTGAGGACACGGCTCCTATCTCCACGGAAGTTCGAGAGAGGACACAGGGAAGGGGCAGGGGACCAGGCCACAGGAAGGCAGGACACCTAGAATGGGAAGAGGGCTGGGAAACCTGGGCCAATGGAGACCCATTTTCTCCAGCCAGGCCTGGCCGTGCCCAAGGGCAGCCGCTGGAGCCGCAGCGTGTTGGAGATGTTTAAGCGGGGGACCCACGGCCCCCCATCCTTGAGTGCAGCGTGGCACGTTCGGGCCCAGAGTCTTTCCTGCTTTTCTCCCATCTCAGACGCCCCCCTGTGCTTGTCTCCTCAGGGACCACCCCAGATGGGGAGCCTCCAACACAGCCCTGGCCCGGTGGCTCCCTGCTGCCTATGAAGACGGCTTCAGTCAGCCCCGCGGCTGGAACCCCGACTTCCTGTACCATGGGACGGCCCTGCCCCCGGTTGGTTCTCATTCCCCAGAGAGGGCCCTGCCCCCAGGGGGGACGGCTTCACACAGTCGAGGGGCCCAAGCTGCCCGTCAGGGTGAGGCCAGGGTCCTAGGGTGAAGTTTAGGAATGAGGTGCCAAAAATTAGCATTGTTCTCCAGCAAGCAGAGCAACGCAGATTTAAATTGTTTCCACCGGCTTTGCCGCCCCAGCTCTCCATGAGCACTGAGTTTTCAGATAAATTCTCCTGTTCTCCCGTGGAGGACCAGCTGCATCCAAAGCACCTGCCCGTGAAGGTAGTGGCTGCTTGTGGAGCTCACGCATACCATGCTGCTAATCTGCTTTCTCTCACCTGACGACCCACATCAGAGGCTCACCCAGCCCTATACCATATTCCATAATGGAATGCTTGATACACCCCAAAGCAGACATGAGGTTCGGCCCAGACACCAGTACGCAGAAGTCAAGGCCCAGCCTGGCCAGGGGCATCCTGGTCAGCTGCTGGCCGACACCGTACAAAGCCCCCTGTGAAGGAGGCGGCGCGCTCCCGGCATCTGGTGAGGAGCGGTGGAGGAGCGGTGAGCAAGGGCTCGCTGAGCTCGGTGCTCCGGGCGGCAGGCAGGCCCAGCAAGCTCATACACTCCCAACCTCCACCAGCCCTGCCTCCTTAGCATCAGTGCCGGCCTCTGACATGGGGTGAGACTATCTTGACTGGCTTGTGCTGACACATCCCAGTTCAACCACTGAGGCTTCCGGAATTCTCGGCGGCACTGTCCTGTGATTCTACAAACCAAGTCTGCTGCTGGCTTCCTAGTCCTGACCTGACAGATTACTCCAATTTTAGAGGCTTAGGACAACAGAAATTTATGATCCTCAGTTCTGCATGCCAAAGATCTGAGGGTTCTCTGTGGCTGAAATTGGGATATCTAAGGGGGCATAGCCTTCTGTGAGCCCTTCAGGAAGAAGCCACCTCCTTGCCTTTCCAACTGTGTGTGGGCAGTGGGGTGTGCTGGGTCCAAGCCTCTTCTACCAAGGTTCAGCCCCAGCCCCATCCTTCTAACTGCTAGGGGCTGCCCACAGCCTCTTGCTGCAAAGCTAGCAACTGTGGAAGCTCTCCATACCTCCTCCAAAGTCAGTTCTCAATGCCAGGCAGCGAGCTGGCAGTGACTGGACTGGACTACCCCGAAATCCAGGTACCTGCTTTCATCTCAAAGTCCTGGATACAATCTCCTCTGAAGTGTCCAAGATTATAATATAGGCATCTTTGGGAGCTGTTCTACCAGGTTCCATGCTCTGAACCCCAAAGGCGTGTGCCCTTTCCAGATAGGACCCACAATGCTCTCTTCCAAAGACCCCAGGCCCACCAGAGCACCGCCTCAGCAGAGGGGAGCTAGAGGCAGCAAGCTGCTGGGCAGAGGCTGGGAGTGACCGGCTGGGGGGGCTGGTGACCGCTAGGGAACTGAGCGGTGACTTGCTGGGATGGGGGTCCCACCAGGGAGGGGCTGGGGTGTCACCCATTTGGGGATGAATTTCCTCTCCGGCTGGATCTGTGAAACAAGCTCTCTCTCTGACCCTGAAGTGCCGAGGGCAGCAGAGGCCAGACTGCAGTGGCAGACGTCCCACTCATCAGGAGGAAATAAAAGCAGCCGGTCATCACGGCGGCGGGGACACCCGCGGTCTCAGGCGCCCAGGCAGGAATCCAGGCAGCTCATGGCTCATGGCTCTTCCCAAAACGCCTCTGAAAACCTGAGCCGGTCCCTCCCGTCCACTTTAGAGGAGGGCTCTGACTTGCAAAGCCCAGAGCTGGGCTGACGCTCCAGGCTTCCCCGGGCACCCCAAGCCCTGTGAGCGAGGACCCTGCCCGGAATTGAGGACCCCAGCCTCGTGTCGCAGCCGGGCGGCCTCGTGTCGTGGCCCGTCCGCATGGTGACACGCAGCTCTCCTTACCCAGGTTCGGGAGGTCTCGAGGCTCGTCATTCGAGCTTCCAACTCGGCTGTGAGGGAGGACGACCAGTACTCTGACTTCCTGACCGCGTGGGGACAGTACATCGCCCACGACGTGGCCCTCACGCCCCAGAGCGCGGGCGGAGACGACTGCGGGCGGACGTGTGAGAACCGGAGCCCCTGCTTCCCCATCCAGGT